GGTGGGACCAGGCTGGTGGGCACATCAGCTACAGTGTCACAAGCCCACCCCCTCCAGCAAGTGGGGTTGGCCTCAGTGGTCCAGGTCAGGACAGACGTCAGAGCGGCATTTGCCTCCTGTCTGCGGGGTGGGCAGGAGGTCGGTGGGGACCGGTGGGACGGTGGACGTAACACGCCCCCCAGTGATTGCCCAGGCCTGGTCGAGTCATCCAGTCTCTGGAGGAAATGAGGGCTCTGCTGGACGTGCAGGACTCTGCTGGACATGTCAGTATGGCTGGATTTAAATGGTATCAGCTGGCAAGACTGGCTGGGGGCTGCAGGCGCTCCTGCCTGGCAAGGAGGCCTTGTGAGAGGGTTGAGGGGAGGCTCCTGGGTGCAAGGCCAGGGGTGGGCATGACCAGGCGAGGCTGGAGGCCTGGACACCAGTAGGGGCCTGTGCCCTCGTGTGGAGGGAGAGAAGGACCCCGCCACTGGTGGTGACAATGGCAGTGGCTGTGTGCTCCCAGTGGAGGGTCAGCAAGGTGGGACTCAATTCACCTGCCCTGGAGCTTCCACAGGGCCAGGAAGCCCACAGTATGTGTCGCGTCTGCGGAGGCTCACGGCGTGCGTCCTGTCCGTGGAGTCTGAGCCACCCTACCATGCACCCCAGTGCTTGGCCGTGCAGAACCCCCCAGCTGGTGTGAGCGGCGTTGCCGCCCTCCACCCAGCGTGGATGGAGCTCCTGGGCATGCAGGTGCAAGGACCAGCCCCTGGTGCTGCGTTCCTCCTAACGTGTCACGTCTGTACCTATACGCAGAGCAGCCCAGGTGGATGCTTGGCCTGAGGATGCTCCCAGTCCTCTGTGGCAGGATGCCCAGCACTGCCGTGGCTGGACGAGGAGCACCTGTGCTTCCCGGGCTCAGAGAAGGCCATGACACTCCCTCGGTGTTGGGTGGGCAGGCTCAGTCTCCGTGAGCGTCTGGCCAGGCCCTACATAGCGAACTGATCTCTGGGTCAGGGTTACAGCCTGACAACCTCAGCGGACATGCGGACACGCGTGGACAACAGTACAAGGTGCACAGGTGTGGAGGGAGCCAGGCGGAGTGAGCACCCGCGGCGGTGAGCGTGCGGGCACACGGGCTCGCTGTGGCTCGGCCGCCAGAGCACCTTCCTGTTGGGTTTTGGCTCTCTGTGTCCCCGGACTTGGTGCACAGGAGGGTGGTCGCTGCTAGGCCTGCCTCCCAAAGGGCCAGCCTGGGCAAAGCGCGAGGAGGCTCGCCACGGGCAGGGTGTGTCCCGAAGCCCTCCTTCTTCTGGTCGGTTGCTGCCAGCTCTGTCTGCCCCTGAGCAGCAGCCGCAGCAGCTCCAGCAGTGCAGTCATCGGTGCTCGGGATGTGGCCAGAAGGTGCAGTGGCCACCCATCCCAAAGAGGAGAAGCGTGGGACCACCAGATGGCATAGTGGTTACGTGGCAGGACTCCCCTGCTGTTGTTGGCGATTGGAGTCAGGGACCCGGCAGCTTTGAACTCACACCAGGTGCACGTGCGTGCGTGCTCAAAATCCTGAGAGGAGATTGGAGGAGAAGGGATTGCGGCGTGGCCATCCCCCCGGGGGTGATTTCTCACTTTCTGTCTCTCCATCTCTGTGTCTTTGGTGAGCATGCACTCCTCATTGCAAAACTCTCTTAAAAGTAAAAAAGAAAAGATGAGAAACTCGAGGCCCCCAGGCAGTAAGGTCAGTGAGAGCCCGGCCTGAGCCTGGCCTGTCCTGTCCAGCCCACAGTCACAGCTAACCTGTCTCGGCCCCCCCTGAGGCTGGTCTGGGTGGCCTTGGAGATGTCACACAGCAGGTGGAGTGCTGTTTAGGGGTCACCTAGGGCCAGGCCCTGTCATTTTGCAGATGGGGAAACTGAGGCTGAGGGTGGTTGAAAGTCCTTGTCCAAGAGGAAACGGTGAGCTGGTGGCAGAAACAGTACGAGCCCCATGGGTTGACCCCTGTCCAGCGCCACCGATGTGGGCTGGCCTTGCCCACCTGGCGCGCCCTGCCTCTCTGCCTGCGCTGGAGAGCTGGCCACGCCTGCAGAGCTCCACGAGGCGTGGTCGGCTCCTCTGTGCTGCCGGCCGCCTGGCTTCGTCTCCGGCTCATGGACTCCCTCCTGTCTGTAAGGGGGCATGTCATTCTCCTCTGAGATTCCGCATCCGCGTCATTTCTGTGGTGGACGAGACAAGCCTGGGGGCGCTGCAGGAAGTGGGACCCCAGGGCGGCCGGGTCAGTCTGAAGGCCAGGCGTGGTGGTGGCGATTGCCTCCCTGGACACTCGAGAGGCTGAGGCAGGAGGCTCACGCAGCAGCCAAGCCCTGCCTTGGGGAGCTCAGGGAGGATAGATGTGCGTGTGCTGTGCGGCCCGTGGCCGAGGGCCAGCCGTGCTGGTCTTCTGAGGCCAGCGACGTGTGCCCATGGCGGGAGCCGAATCTGTGCCCCTCGGGAGCGGAACTCACCACCAGGCCCCAGGGTCCTCCTCGCCGTGGCCGGAGAGCTCGCTCCCAGCGTGAGCCCAGACTGGACTCCCTCTTGGTAGCCAGCCCCACCCACGCCCTCCACACAGATCAGCGCTCCTGCAGGACGGCGCGTGGGGACTCGGCGGGCAGCCCCGGGGTCGGGCCATGCTGCTCCGTCCCTGGCCCAGGTCCAGGCTGGGTGGGAGCAGCAAGGAGGGCTGTACCTCCTTCTGCTGCTCCATAGCCTCCCATCACCGGAGGTCGAGGAGGGGCAGCTCCAGGACAGGAGGCCCACCCGAGAACCCCGCACACTGACACGCCCCCTCTGGGCGGCCTGTGTGCCTCGCCGAGGTTTCTTTCCCTCTCCCGTGAGTCCCAGCCTCAACCAGCTGGGGTCATGCGCACGTGTGTGTACCCACCGTGTACCTAGCGTGCTCAGGGAGTGTGGGCGTGACCCCACAGCCTGCCCGCGTAGGTCCGGTTGCCTTTCTGCTGCGCCACCCCCAGACCCCGGGGCAGGACTTCCACCTGTCCTGTTCTACAAGGGGGACGTGGTGAGGAGGGCTGGGGACGCTCGCCGCCCAGGCCGGTCACGCTCCAGCCATCTACCTCTTCTGGATGACACCAGGTTTATGCAACGGGAAGCCAGGGTTGCACGTGGAGCTCACAAGGACAGAACAGGCCAGCGGATCATTCGTCCCTCGAGGGGACACCGTGGGGCTGCTCATGCACCCTAAGAACACATCTCAGGCCTGCTTTAGCTCAGATGACGGAGGCCCACCTTCTTCCAAACCAGGCCACCCCGTCTTGAGTTTTGCGATTGACCTTTGAATGTAAAGGCAGTTGAATGTACACGTCTTGTCAGATCTTCTTACAAAAGCTCTGTTAAAGACTGGGTTTGCACATGAAGGTGGGGACAGAGTGTGAGTGGGGCAGCTGCCCTGACGTACCCTAGCCTGGAAGGGCCTGGTCTCCGCGCACGGCACGTGCTGAGTCGACTGGGAGCACACGGCTGTGTGAAGGCTCTGTCTCTTGGCTCTCTTTCTCACTATTGTGGGAGAAATAAATAACGTGAAGAAATTGTTTTACCTGTGGTTGCCATGAGGTTAGAATGTGAGAAAAACTGGTAAAGGGAGAATGGAAGTGGCTGCTGTGGGTGGTCGTCTCAGCCGTGCAGGCGTGGGGACAGTCCTGCCCGGCCCTCTCCAGCAGGCACTGCGCAGACGCGGGGAGGGGGCGCTTCCATGATTCCAGACTGGCGGCTCCCTGGAGCGTCGGAGGGCAGGAGCACGCAGCTCCGTGGGGC